AAAAAAAAGAAAAAGGTGGCATTAGTTCTAACTACAGGAAGGGCTATTCTGGAAAAGCACTAGGAACAGCTCAGCAGAGGGAGCAAGATACCTCCATATCCAAACAACAAATGTTCCAAACGCGTTCCCTACAGACAGTGCCGATGGCTCCTTCCCCGAGGGCGCAACTACACGTCACGCTACAGCTATGCAGAAGAGTTCGCTCCTTGAACACAGTGCTCATCAACAGGAGGAATTTCTCAGCCTTCCCTGCTAAATTGCCTGCCTCAACAGCATGGACTGAAGCCGGGAAAAGCATCTTCCTGTTGGGGTTCAGATTAATGCTAACGAGCAGCCGTGTGTTCCGAACTCCCAACCCTCACGGCTCTCAGCAGAACCTGGCCATCACATCCAGAACTCCTTAATTATTATTTCAGTCCAGCTGTATTTGTCACATGCTTGCAAGTCATAAAGCCATTCTGAGCTACAGAATGGGCTGCTGTGGTTATCCTAACTGAGAGCGGTGTCCAGAAATAGAGTGGAAACGAGCACAGCCTAGTCCTCGGCCCAGCAAGGGACCGACTTGCTGCTGGAAGGGGAAGGAGAAGAGGAAGTAGAACAGACATATTTCAGCAATGCACCCAATTACTGTCCTGCAGAACTTCAAATGGATGCCAGGCACTTAAAGAATTTGTATGTAATATACACATTTTTTTTTGATGCTGTAAATACAGAAAACTCCATTTGCAGTACTTGCACCATCATCAACGAAAGAGGACTTTGATGGAACAGAGATTAAAAAAAAAGTCACCCACTGCTGCTGCAACTTAAATACAGCCTTTCCTTTTCCAATTGTTTTCCTTATAATTAGCCCTCACAGTTTCCTGGGGCAAATACATCATTTCATAGACGCTACAGCAAAGGGCTTCACTCTGAAACCACGAGTTCAGGGCACAGTCAGAAAAGCAGCTGCGATACAAACAGCCTGCATGCTACACTCTGCCAGGACAGCTCTTTGTGAGCTTGCCACAACGTACCTGCCTGGGGAACTGATGCAGCTGACAAAAATCACAAGGCACTGCTCAATTACTGAAGTTGGCACGGTCACCAGGAAAAACATTCGTTAAACTATGCCCTGAATACGGAACCGCTACTAAAACATTCAAGGGTTCGTCTATCTCATTCCTACGGGCAGATCTCTCCAAGAAGGACTAGGAGACAGAGATCACATTTCTGACGCCAAAATATATCACAGGAACCTACATGATCACTAGATAACTAATTAAACATATTTAACATGTTGAAATATGTCCTCAAAAGAAGAAAAGCGTGTCAGAGTAGCAACCTTACCTCTTTGTCCTCTTTATGATTAAATACAAACAGTAGCTTCCTAGCAATTCTGAAGATAGAAAGAGCACTTCTTTTACTTGAGCCAGACTCATTTGCCCCAAAGAAATCCTCCACTTCTCTCCTACCAAAGTGGGAAAAATGAGCATCGGTAGTTAAAAATCAAGCACACCTCTCCAGATAAGAGCAAAGCGTGGAAGGTAGAATTTCACACACCTTATCTCCCTCTGCAGGCGGCATCGACAGAGAAATCTCCTGATCAAAGCCTGGATCTGGACAGCGGCACGCTCCCTCTCCTTCAGCTCCCTCCGCTCCTCCCGAGCCTGGCGTGCTTTGTCGAGGAACTGGGCTTTGGAGGACTGGCTTGCACTGAACATTTTTATAACCTACCAAAACGTAAATTTAAGGAAACAAAGAATCATTGCAGCAAACGCCTGGGGGACTAGGAGCAGAGCGGACAGAACGCACAGGCAAAGGTAATTCTTTACACTGCTTCTGCACTGACTACCTGCATCCAACATTTTAACAGGGGAAGGAGAGTACCCAACAGCACAGAAAGAAGTCCGTGCAAAATACAGCCTAGGCAAAGCCAAAGTTACTTGTCCATGGGACTGCAATAAGAAAACACATTGATCTCCGAATCATTCCAGCAAAGCCCGCAACCTAATGCAGGCAAGTAGATTTTAAGAGTAAAAAAAAAATAATCAATGTGTTGTCTTTATGTTCGACTCCCTGTACTCCAACTCCCCGTTCCAGTCTTAGTTGTTTTCATTTTCTTGTTTACAGAGAACATATAAGAACAATTCTATAGGCGAGCATGAAAGAGAAAGGGCACAAGAGACACTTGGAAGCTAATTTATTGCCACTCAACAACACAAAATGCACAGTCAACAACAGCTTTATAAATACTTAACAATGAACTTACCTGAGGGCTTACTTCAGAAGAAGAAGTGCATGATAATCATTTATACACAAACAGGATCCTCATCCACTAGCTTCAGGCAGCTCCTGCACAGATAAGCACACTACCTGCAGACGATTTGGGGATTTACTCCTTACCTTTCCAGTTCTAAGTCCCTGTGACCAGACTTACCTCTCACCACGCTCTCAAGAAAATGTCAAGTCAGAAAAGCTTCAGGAGAGGAGAAGCAGCACCACCGCTCAGCTGCGATCGCTGGCACATGTAGCTCCCGACACTTCAGAGTGGGGAAAAACGATCTGATGTGTGACAAAAGCAAAGGCCAGCCTCAACCCTGCCAGGGCCCTGGGCATCGGCGAGACCCGAGCGGCAGCTGCCCCACAGTGAGCGCCTCCCGTTTCACCAGCGTTGGGGCAGGACTCACCTTGGGACTTGCCCAGGCCACTATCAGCAGCCAGCGGAGACCCCCACGCCCACCTCTTCACCGCGAGACCCCTCGGCCCCACAGCCCCAGATGCCCGGCCCTGAACCCTCGCAGCCCCACAGCCCCCCTC